TCCCCCCCCCCCCGTTTTTGTTTTACAAAGGTCAGCCCCCTCTTAGTAACAAAACTGCTGTCCAGCAAGTGCCCCTCCACATTTCTGTCAAAATAGCTGGAGCCCAAATCCTTTCCCCATCCTCAGAGTCACAGCTCCATGCTGTTGAGGAACTGGGCCCAGCTCTAACACAGGTGGTGCACACTAAGGGACAATCATGCAGCAGATGCTCACCTACAGCAGCAAGGCAGGCATCCCCTCAGGCTCTAGGCTCTTCAAGGTTGTCTCTTTGCTTCAATAACCATTTATCTGCCAGGTTTGTTTCAACAGATAAAATACTCTGCTGAGTATATAAAAACTGTTATAAAAAGGCAATCATAAAAGATAAGGTATTGGCAGGCATGTCAGCGCTTTTTAATAAAAAAAATAACCATTATATCTATTTAAATAAGGCTTCTTGTTACAGATTGTTCCAGTTACTGAAGGAAAACAAGGCCTGATGAAAAAAACAATCCCCCATACATCCCCCTTCCACTTCCTGCCCCAAGAACACAGCCTACAGGAAAAGTCATTTAATGTGCAAAGTGACAAAACAAACACTGGGGGAAGCTCCTGAAATGATATGCCCAGTCTCATTTCTCTTGCATTACCTTCAACCTCTTCAAAAAAACCCTCAAAACAAAGTTCTAAAATACACAAAAAACCCTTCATCTCAATATTCTTTCCAAAACAAATATGTACAGCACATTAATATGCAATATGCAAAAGCTCTGTGTTGCTGTTGGCAACATCTATGCCCTCCCCAACCCTATTCACATGTGTACCTCTACTAAAACACAATTACATCACTAAGCCTGTTAGTTTGAAAAGGGAAGTTAATTCACTTGTAAATTTTTACGTAGGGGCTCCATTCATTTGACTCTGGATGGTAGACTTCAACTGTGTTCAAGAATTCATTGCCATCAAATCCCCCAACTGCGTAAATAGTGTTGGCCACTGTGGTGATCCCGGCGTTGCTCCTCGGAGTAGTCATGCTGCCCATCATCCTCCACTCGTTCCTGGCAGGGTCGTACACCTCCACACAGCTCACCGCATGAGAGCCATCAAAGCCACCACCGACAAAGAGTTTTCCTACCAAAAGGAAGCAAAAAGTGAGTGCTCAGCAGCTCAGCGACAGCTGCCTCCTTTCTGGGGAGGTCAAAGCTATGGCATGTCGGGCTTCCTGTCAGAAAGCTCTGCCTCGGTCAAGGTCTGAAGTGACAGTGTTGACCTGCTTTGGCTCTCCTGATCATTAATGCTGACTGGAAATTATTTCAGAATAAGTGCAAAGCCCAAATGCAAACTGATACAGCTGCTAGAGCTGAAAGGGAAGAGGTGAGGGCTAATGCCCCAAAACAAAAATTAGGTTTTTTTGTTTTCTGATATTAAAGTTGGAAGCACAGCCAGGTTCTTACGGTATTGTTGCTTCCCTAAAAAGGGACACAGCTCTACTTGTATCACAGCTTAATGTGAAGAACTCCCCAAGCGCCAGAGGCTGCTGGGGGGGGTGGAAGCCTACCATCACGAACTGCCACTCCCGCCCCTCGCCGAGCCACGTTCATGGGCGCAATCAGGGTCCAGGTGTTGTTCTCTGGGTTGTAGCGCTCCACGCTGTTCAGACAGTTCCACGACTCCGCTCCTCCAATGATGTACAAATATCCCCCCAGTTCACACACTGCGGACTGATGCCTCCCTGCAATCAGAACCCAGGAGTTACAGCACAGCACAGCAGTTGTGCACTAACAGCGTGCCACAGCAGTGGAAATTTAACAGGTTTGTGGCTTGGTTTGAAACCTGCAGTTTTGCAAACGCCTTTTCCCTGCTCCCATCCAAACCTCAGAGCAAACTTACGGATGTTAAGGGGAGCACAGCTTGTCCAAGATTTTGTCACAGGATCAAACACATCACAGTTCTTCAGTCCCTTTTGGCCATAAGGATCTGAACCACCAACAATGTACAGTTTTCCATTCAGGGCACATACTCCTAGGCACGCAGTAAAGAATAATAAGCAAGCTAGTAAACGAATACATTTTTAAAAACCCCAGTCAATCAACTGCAGAAGGGATACCTGCATTGCAGCGATTGGTTCTCAGTTCTGGAATGGGTGTCCAGTCATCTATTTCTGGCTCATACATTTCTCCACAGCTCAAGTCATCAGAGTGACCGTTTGACCCCCCCACAACATAGAGCTGCCCCTAAATGGGAAAAAAAAGACACTGGCTTCACAACCAAATATGCCACGATTCAAGTAATTTGTGTTTTAGCAACCATTTAACTGCACTTAAGCAACTCCTGCTACCACTTTGTGCAGTTTGCCCTGTTTGTCCCACCTCCGCTGACACGAGGTCAGGTTTGATCCGCTCTGCCCCCCACACACCATGAGCACTGCCATCTGGAACCGAGCTCGCGGCGTCCTCATCGGCGCAATGAAAGTCCAGGTGTCCTTCTGCGGGTCATAGCATTCCACCGTGCGCAAACACTCCTCTCTGTTATACCCACCTAAAAAGAAAAGGCTGGATGACATCATGTTTCGAAAGTCTGAAAGTCCGACTCTGACACGGCATAGAGACTCGGGAAGCCATTGACCCTGCACCCAAGCAGGCCCCCATCAGAGAGCTGACACTGCTTCCCTTACCTGCGGCAATGAGCTTGCCATTGAGCTCGGCAGTGCCCAGCCCTGAGCGAGCGTACTGCATCGGCGACATGGGCTTCTCCATGATGTCGCTGGGTTGAAGCTCAAAGCTCAGACTCTTCAGCAGGCGCGGCGTACTCGTGGGAGAGCTTTGCGGGCTGTTACGGCCATGCAGGAATATGACGCATAGCACCCCATCCAGGACAGCCAGACACAGGTAGGTGTTGCCTGTCATCGGGAGAAAAGGAAGCCACCAATATTAATGAAGTTTTAGGTGAACTTAAGTGAATGCCAGCTAGGGTCTTCTGATTACACTTCTCCCCTTGTAAGCGTGAAAACTGTTTTTTCTAGTTACTGATTCCAAGTGTTAGCAAGTTTTAGATTATTAATAGAGTGTTCAAAGGACACAAGACAGCAATCTAAAGATGTGCTAGGAGAAAGCCTCCTTGCACATACAGAGCAAATAGCTCTGTAAGCAAAGGCTGCCTATCTCCTAAGGACTCCCTGGGTAGGTTATACACCCCATGGGACTTGGGATGGCCCTGGCGAGGAGGCATCAAGAGGATGTCAGTGATCCCATTTTGGCCCCCAATTGTGTTGGAAACATCCCACGAATTACTGGGCCAATTACTGGACTTTGCATCATCGGTAAGAAAAAGCACTTCTGCATCCCTGATGGATGTTGAAGGAAATCCCCAGGGAGGGGGAGGTGGTAGGCAACAGAACACCAGACATGTCTTTTAGACAAACCCTGCCCTGGTTACTCACTTGAAGTTTTCTCTGAAGCAATGATTTTCCACTCGTGTTTAGGACTCTGAACAGTAGCATTTGGAGAAAGACTTCCAGAGGAGCTGCTACTGATCTGCTTGTGATCATTCTCACGTGGTGGCTTCTTCTGCAAAATCAAAAGGCAGCTACAGAAACCTAGCCAGAGACTACACCTCCTTCTACCTTTGCTTCTCTGAGCTAACATGTAACTACTCAAGAGAACACCTCCGCAGAGCATCATTTATAGCACACCTAAATTTTCAACAGAACATCTTGCCTGCTCAGCAACAGTGGCCAAAAACCACCCTACATCTTCTTTTGGTACTCCTTTCATCCTGTGACTGCTGCTTTCTACTGCTGGTGTCTGACTAGAAATCATTTCAAATTCCTAGAAGAGAGTATGTGTTAGTAGCAGAGTTTTCAAATGTAAGGAAAAACCATTTGGCGAAAACTCATCTACAGACTAGAAGCCTCACTTGCAAGCTCTGCTTCTGGAACCTGAGTTAATTATATAATGCTATTTGTAGGTGAATTAACCATTCTCTTAATTTCCTGAAGACAAATTAATTTCACCTCAGTTCCTCTCTGTGCTCAGATTAGCCGTTTCTTGGATTTTACTCCCTTGATGCTTCCCACTAACAGGACATTTCTGCTTGCTTTTCTTCTTCAATTAAGTTTATACTGTAGCTTACATTAAAAAAACAAAAATTTCACATTTCAGATTAGATTGCACAGTTGGCTGTTCAGGCTTTTCCTGAACCGTACAAACCAAACACAGAAAGTTACCTTTCTGTCTATTCTGTTTAGCAGCAAGGATTACGACCACAGTACCAGGCCTGCGATGCCTGCACAGTTCCCCGAGTATGATCTCTGTGGAAACTGTCCTAAGACTTCTGGAATACATCACCCAACTCGGGTAACTTTACACAGAAGAGTTTGATTGCTATACTCGGCACGCCATGAAAATCAATTAATTTGTGGATAGTGTTTCTGTTATTGCTGGACCTTCATCCAATAACAGCTTATTCTTTTAGCCTTCGATCACCTCTACAGTTACAGAAATTACAAACTTTTGTAAGTCAAAAATTTACAAGCTACAATTTTTGAAGGACTGTCATTTATGGGTTGTCTGGCATTATTTCTTGCAATCATTCAGAATGTCTGAAGTTGGCAATTCTTATTATCAGAAAAGATTTTTTACAAGTTGAGAATTTTCAGCCTTATTTTTGAAAATGAACTTTTTGAACATTTGCCTCTCAGCTTCTGAGCATTACAGGGTATAGTATCCAAAGGTGGTGAAGTCTGTGAAGGCTTACTAAAAACAATTCAGCAACTGGAAAATTATCTGGCTTTTCACTTTCCTCTCTCTTCACTTTTGAAATCCATGTTCTGGGATGGAGAATATTTTAGAGAAGTATTACCTAAAAATTTCAAGAAGTATACTTTCATATCACATTCCACCGTTGCAAGTTTAAATTCACTGAGTTAGAAGCAAATATATTGTGATATTTAAGAACCTTAATTCGTATAAAACAACTGATAAATTAGCCCTTTTTTAATCTTTATTTCTTGAACAGCCTCCACTGTGCTAAGCCCTGTGTTTTTCAGGAATTGCAAATAATTATATTTGCCTAGAACTAAAAAATAAAAATCTCAAAGCTCAGGACTGATTTGTACGCAGTCAAAGCACTGGCTATCTCTAGATGAGAAGTTATCTACTCCTGGTTTATTGAAATCTCTCTTGCTCATTATCAGTGCAGCTGAACAAAAGAAACGGACGCTGGCAGCTGACAGCTCAGAACTTATGTCTGGAATCCTTTTCTGTGCCAAAATTTAACAGATGCATTCTCTGCTGCCAGCCAAGCACTCTGTGATTCTTTACAGTCTCTTGAATATCTCTACAAAGCCACAGCTGCCTGGCTACAGCTGACTGCTTTTCCACCTCTTCTTTCTTCTAACTGCCCAAGATTTATTTTGAAGTCAAACCTAAAGCACTCCATTTTGCAAAGGCTGAGTCAGTCTGCTGAAAAACCAGCAGCAGAGTCTAATCATCGCCTCCAGCCTTTACGATACTTTCTCGTCATGTGTTTCTCTTACAGGTGCTGCTGCTTTCTCTGTCACAGTACACAAGACTTCAGGTGTGCTGTAAACTGCTCCAGTCTATCTGGGGTTACCTGAGACTGTCTGAAATTTGTACCTGCACAAACTGAATGTGGTCATCATCACTGCCATACACCTCAGCCTGTCCATCTAGCAGATTTCCATCAAGCAGCTTGTGATCAGCTGAGTAGTACAGCGTTTGAACCTGCAAAAACAACAACAGAATACACATGTGGCTACTGTCTCCACTGCTACTTAGCTACAGGCAGATTACAAAAGGCAGTTGCCAGCATACTTCTCGTCATCTCATCTCAATCTAGCAGAATGACAAAACTAAAAGGAAGCAGATGTCATGGTGGCAATCTTCAAACATGGGATGAAGGTTCCTTACTTTCTCAGCTTGAGAGAAATCTTCATTTTCCAGGGACTTCTACTGTTTTTCCAGCACAGAAACATTAGACAATCAAAAGGCACATTAATTTGCAAAATTACACAGATTCACAATCTCATGCAAGCATTTTTGCTATCCCCGCAAACAAGTTTTCTGCTCTGAAAAGTACACATCTTTATCTCGATCAAAAAGAGAGAAGCCAACAGTGGACTCTAAAAGAAAGGTATGGGAATGAGGGAAGACAACACAAATTTAAGTTCTGGAGGAAACTCTTGACCCAACTAAACACCAGATGCAACTGTTTCAATGTCATGCATCTGAATTTCAACATGATCAAAGCTTATAAAATGAGTTTTTCCAACAGGAAATACAGACTTGAGAATATATGACAGTATCAACATGTACTTTTGCCTATACAAGTGTTTCTGAAGATCTATTGTGCTTGTAATAACAAACTTGGAAATTTTTGATGCTTTATGGGTTTTTGTAAAGTCCATTTTCTCTAGCCAATTAAAAATTTAGACTCCCCACTAATTCAAACACTGCCCAGGCTACATCTAGTATTAGTATTCATGAGTAAAGCCATTTAATAACACACAACTTTCAAAATAATGCATCCTGTAAAGGAGTAAGTAAACACCATTAAATCATCATCATCGTTCTCTGCCCACAGCGGATTTTCTTAGGAGAACTGGGGCAGGACTGCTGCTTCTGTACGTGTCAATACACTTGAGGTTTCTTCTTGGTTCTTCAGCCTTGGTATCCTAGTTTTGTTAATAAACCTATGGGGAGATAAATCAACGGGGAGGAACAACCATTAGAAGCTTTTACCTACTTCACATTTACAAGCAAAACCTGCAAAGGAAAACATCAAGAATCTACAGCAAGTTTCAGTACCACCTCCCCAATTCTAAAGCAAGATACACGCCACTTTGAGGTTACTATACAGCACATAGTGAGCAAAAAAGGAAAGCGGAAGACCAGACTGAACAGTTCATTCAGCTCACCTGAACACCCCCCCAGTTTCTCAGCTTAGGGGTACCTACAGTAAAATTTAAATTCTTTAGGGTCACAGTTAAAAAAGTGAAAAAATAAAAAAATTAAAAGGGATCATCCTTCATATTGACTTTTTTTTTTTTTAAAAAAAATGATGTTTCATCCCATTTTCTTAAATACTAACCTCTTCCATTAGATCTTCCAGGCTGTCTCCATTCTCCCAGATGCTGCGCTGTACCCAGTTGATTACCTTTGTGTACAATTTGCCATTGCTGGGTAGGCCAGTATTGTCTTCCAGCATTACTTCAAGCTTGAATTAGAAGAAAAAAGGATGATTTACTCTATAGGTATTACCTTTGTATCTGTAGCACACTGTACTTTATGTAGCAAGCATTACTCTGGCTTTACCACAGAGCTAGAAAACACCACCTAGCTTTCAAGCCTATGCCACTGAAACTAGGAAGCACACACAAGTACAGCTGTAGTTATTTTGCACTTGGAGAGGGTGACAGTACATATTCTCTAGGGTTAAGGTTCACAGTAGCAGTAATACCGTACAGATCCAGAATTTTTACACTGTTGGTAAAAAAAGCCAGCACACCAAGCTTTCCTACTCCCAAAAAGGATGCCATAGTAGTTGCTCCTTGGGTTGTTTTTTAGAAATCACGTACCAGAAGGAAGTCTAGAAGCTTAAGCTAACCTTTAACCGTGGAAGTTTGAGAAATTCTTCCTGTTCTGAAATCTGTAAAAGATGTTCCTGAATGTACCCATCGATCCTGTTCAACAAACGTGAGTCTCCCATACAACTGGCAAAGTTTCGGTAAGAGATGCAGCTCTGAACATCCATCTTGGAGAGCAAATAGTCACCACAAACCTTTTAAGAAAGAAAGGCTGCATCTTAGTTTACAAGTAGACAAGATTTTTGTACATTTACATTATCCATCCCAAGATACAGCAACAGCTGTTTTCTGACTGCAGAACAGTGACTGACTGTTGTCATCCCCGCCCTCTGCTAGAGCTGTAAACAAAGTGCTGCCTTCCACTGGAATATGCATGTATTAAAAGAAAAGTCATACATGGCTGCAAGCTTCTCACATTGACCCCATGCTTTTCTACCAAACACCTATTCAAAACAGCTCTTCTGCAGTCAAGTGAAGATGAGAATCCCAACTCCCTTGGCAGAGGTAGTACCCCTATCTGTGGCAAGAGGAAGCATTTCTAAACTCAAGCGCTACCGAACTTATGTTCAGAATTGTATGGATTATTCTTTTTTCCACATGACTGCCACAAATTAACAGGTTTAATTATGTCCCCCAATGCAACCAAGCACACCACCACTTCCACAAACCTGAAGATAAGTAATCAGCTGTGATTCAGAAGCCATTTCGCTTACACATGTGCACAAATACAACTCTTAGTTTCAGAGAACCCGTCAGCACAAAGGTTAACACTGGTGGTGGAAGCAATACATACTGATGTCACTCAAATCAATACAATGTTAATGAACATCTAAAGTAACTTATACGCTGAGCACTTTTCCCAGAGAATCATGAGATTTTGTCACAGTAACACCAAAAAGCATAATGCTATCAGCCTGAGAAAGCAGAATGGACTTCTGGAAGAACTGAGAACTGTACCTGCTTAACTCTCTCCATCTTCAACTTCTTTGCTGCAGAATATACATCTTTCACCAGTTCTTTATCAGCTTTTAACCTATTAAAGAAATTTATCTTTATTATTTTTATTTTTTTAAATTAAAGACTACTCTCTAGTTTCTGTGCAAACTACTTACTGAGCAGTATAGGCATAATTCAACAGAACTTCAACAGCTTCTGGATTAAGATCATCGAATTTAACATGGGAAACTCCATGAGAATCACTGTCACTATTGAAGATTTCAAACAGATAGGGACTGCAGCAAGCTAGCACGGCTCGGTGCGCCAACATCTCATGTCCACATACCTTTATTTAAAAGAAAAATAAGGAACCCACATGCTACTAAGAATTTTGGTTAAGTACATTTGTATTATAACAATATAGATGTCTACCCAACTGAATGTCACAATTCAAATCGATTTTTCAAATCAATACAGTCTCCAGTGTACATCAGCTGAAAAAACGTTAGCGTCGCTTCTCTCAAAGTAATCTGAATTTTTTAGATCTGCATTTTCAGATAAATCGGATTCTAAAATCTCAGGTCTCATGCTCAGTGAGGCACATCATGTTACATAGCATTAACAAAAACCCCACCGTGTTCAACCATCATACTCAGACAGAAAAAAGGTACCTGGAGACGGACATCGCAGAACTGACCACTTTTACGTAAGGCATTTAGTTTGGCAACAGATGACTCGATGAAGTTTTCATCTTCAAACATCAAATACCCATTAGGAATCATTTTGGTGTTGGTCTGGCTGAAAACAGAACATGTAAAGTTTACAGATACAACAGTTTACTTCAGTATACAAGCAAACAAACATTAACAGGGAATTAAAAAAAAAAAATCCATCTCAAAAAAAAAGCCTAGAAGTGTACTATTGCTGAGTATGTGTTGACAATAAGCCTTCGGGTTGACTGGATTAATAATTTGAGGCCACAACTTTTAACTTATCCACATTACTTCAGTAAGCACCAACTCCACAACTACATGCTGAACCTGTGCTAGCTCTGGATTATACAAGAGGCTTCATTCCCCTCAATAAAGATCAGATTTAGGAGATTCATCACTATTTTCTCCTCACTGTATGAAATCTGTCATATTGGTCAGCTCCGTTTTTTGCACAGATCCAAAAACCAGCTACACCAAAAAGTAGAACCTGAAAATTTAACCTAACAAGTAGAAGAATAGTTATAGAAATAATTTTTTATTTAATGTTGTGAGTAATGGCTTAAACATTTTAGAGTAGCTGGAAGTTATGAAAGAACAGCAGCACCCACAAAACAGAATTAAACACATTGTAAACAGCAACCATGTATTTTAAGTCATCTCAAAGATCTTACCCATATACGAATGTACCACCTCAGGTAAACTGGACCAAGACTAGAAAAATAACTTCAGGAAACTAACTTCTGAATTTGGAATCTATTTTACAGCTCATTTAATCGATTCTTTTTTTTTTTTAGTTTTAGGGAAAGTCCACTTTCCAAACAGGAAGCTAATTAAGAATACTCTAATATGACCTGACCTAATGTATTTGAAATAATAATTAAAAAAAAAAAAAAATCAAATTTGTAGGTTTGAGCTGCTAACATACACAAAAGTATACTTTCCTCAAGAATTTTAGAGGAAAGAATACGTGGGATGCTACTCATATTACCAGAACAATGTTTTATTTCCATCTGAAGTTTAAGAAAATACTGAAGATCAGACTAAACAAGAAAACCCCCAAAATAGAAAAAGTGGATAGCAAAACCCAGTAATAAAAATAGCAATCTCTATACAAAATAATTCTAGCATTAATCCATTTATTTTAAATCCACTTACTACTGAAAACATTTGACCCTAAGCTGGCAACAATAATCTTACTTACAAAGATCACCTGGTATACACTTTCATTTGTTGTGTTTTATTAAAAAAAGGGCAGCAAGGTTTTCAAGTGGCAGAATTTCAGCAAAAGTATTAATTATTGTATATGCAGCTAACAGTATCAACTTACCTAGCAAATATATTACTGTAAATTTTTTAATGACAGGTCTTAAAATGATCCAATGGTTATCACTGTGTTAAAACAGAGCACTTCAGTTTTGGTATCTTCTGACAGGGAAGATGTTTGTTGAAATGCAAAAAACAGACGTGTCTTTGCAGCTGCAATATGGATTCCAAAACTATCAGGTTTAAAGATGATGTAGTCAAGTCCTTAAGAGCTATAGACATGAATTTCTTCTGTGATAATCATGAATCATAATCTGCAATAAAGGAAAAGTTACTTGGTAAGGACAACAAATAGTACTACCATAGATTTCAGATGAAATTTTGCTAGTGTCTTAAAGCAGAAGCAAACCCAAACAAGTTTTTCTTCACAGAAAAAAAAAAAAAAACAGCCTGACAAATTCCATGTTGACAGCAATACATTCTTGTGCCTAATAATGGGTCAACCACATCAATTTTCATACCCACACAGACAAGACAGTGGCTAAATTAGTGTTTAGAGAAAAAGTTGGAACAGCTAAATCCCATTTTTTAGACAATTCTTTACCAACTCTAACCTTCAGCACCTCATGCATCTAGATCATTATTGCTTGTTTACACAAGTAAATAATGCTTAAGTAACACAACAAAAATGACTAAGGTTTTAAAAAGAAACTAATCCACATGCCTCCTACCTTTTGCTTTTCCTGTACTCATCTACTTATATCCTTCTTCTACTGAATGCCTAAAATGGACTGAAGATGGATTAAGGACATGTCTGAAATGACTGGGCATGTCTCCAGTCTTCGGTACTTCCAAAAAAATTATAAAGTCAAAAATCGCTATTTCAATGATAACTTTCTTTGATAGTCTCTTCACTACCCTGTGAACAGAACCTGTCAAGTTCTGCACTGGCAGCGCAGACTGGGGCAGCTTTGTTGGAACTCTGCTTGTGGGTGGGCTGTTTATGCCAGACTTTTTTGGGGGAGGGGAGGAGCAGCAGCAGGGAGGTATCAGGCATCACACACCCACTCTGGAATTTTCCATGACCCTGATGCCACCTCAGGAAAACATCGATCACTTCATCCACTTGAGTTCCCTGCTGCAGTTCCAAAGCCATATTTGTATCTACAGATTAAATGCCACACTGGGAATCAGGTTTCCTAAAAATAGGTAAAGCTCATTTCTCCTCGTCAAAAATTTAAGAAGTCACCTTTGCTGTAGGCAGGAGAGCCTGGTGACCCCAGTGACCTGCCAGCGCTTACAGACGGGATCATTTGGGCAGGACCTGTACCTCCCTTGGGCTCTAAGTAGACAAGCAGCTCAAGCACGACGCTGATTCTCAGGAGGGGCAGGACGCAACTATCCCACCACACACTAGCTCCCGGGAAAACTGCTCACATCCTCAACAGCTTCTTGCAACCCTGGAAACAGAATATTTCAGCCAGCAGTTAACCACAGAGAAAGAATTAATGAACATTAACTTTGGCTACTAGAACAAATCGACCCACAGATATAAAGCAGGAAACGACTGCTCCAGGGCAGCAGTGGTGTCTGTAACACAGCACCCCCACCGCAGGGAGGACTATGGGAACAGTAGCCCAGGGACTACAGCTTTTTCTACAATGTACTTTAATGTCACCATACTTTGACAGGAAAAAAAAAAATCTCAAAGATGAAATGTATGTTCCTTTTATAATCCTACAAGCAAGTTAAGAAACTGAAAGAAAGACCTATTTACCAAATATTATTTAACTACACATTTGGAAGTCAACATCTCTCTTGTCAGTATAACTGATATAACCATTTCAAGTTTCTAAAGCAATCTAAACATTTCACTTCTCAAAAACAGAAGCAGTCTGACGTCCACACTTCCCCCACAGATTCACCTCACCTGAAACATTCTGTTGTTCAAAGATGCAGAGGTATTATTTCAACACATTTGTTTCAATGAATTAGCTTGTCAAGAAAGTCATGAAATTATGCTTCACCAAGACTATCCATGAACATGCAAGAGAAGTACCACCAAGAGACCTCTGGCTTTATCATTTCAGATTTTAAACCTTCCATTTCTGTTGTAGGACTTCAAGACATGATGGCCAGACCTGCTCAGCCAAATGCAAACTACAGCAGGCATCTAAGAAGTTAAGTTAATGGGGTCAGGCTCCAAGTCCCAGGCAGGAGCTGCACTGGGTGGTCGGTACAGCGTCACACTAATTTGGACCAACCCAGTCACCACTGGCTTGATTCTGAGCAGCAAGCAACACTTTGCATGTAAGATTATCCACCTTGCTCACACTGGTTTTAAACCAGCTTCTTCATGACTGTCAGATCTCTCAAAGAAGTTATCTTGTTAACAGAGTAGAGCTTCGTAATTACCAAAGCAAATAAAATGTATATTGCTACAACAGTTCAGACAAACAGGCTTCTGGTCTGCTCTCGCATCACATTATGCATTCCCCTATTCAATATTCATTGGGGTTGCTGTTAATTACTGGTACTGAGGCTCTGGGGAGATGTCAAGTTACACGACAACTATTCAAACAATTTCAACCAAATTCCAGAATCATACTTGCTTGGTTTACTTCTCTAGGCATATTCTGCTGTAACAGAAGAACTTTCTTTCAAGTGCAGTGTTTTAAAATTTGCTCAAGGTACTTGCTTATGACTTTCAAGACCTAAAAAGGACACCCAAAATAATTCTGGATTGAAATGCAAGATTTGTCTTTTAAAGTCCTCTTTTGTGCATGAGGTCAAAACCACACATTTTGCATTTATGCACCTAACAGTATTGTCCAATCTCAATATCCAGGAATACAAACATCTTAATTCTTACCACAAAGTTTCAATACTGTTGTATGTGAACCATGGCTAATATTTCCATTCAAAATGGCATTAAATAGCACAAGCATATTCATTACTTTCTGCCTTCTTTTTGGTTCGGTATACTACTATTAGAACAAAAGCCAAATAATCAGCCAAAATTTAATGAAAAGCCAAAAATGATATGTTTTCTGCATTAAAGGTTATAAAAAGGGACTGCAAACAAATGCCTTTCTTATTTTCTAAAAAAATCCAAATCACTTGCCATTATCTTTTTTCCCCCCTTACTTATACTCCCTTCTAGCTTACCACATCAGGAACTGTCAGAGGCTTTTTAAATAATTTTCCAGGCTTTTGAATTATTTTCAACTAAGTGTGACATTCACAGATCACTGTCAGCCAGGTAAAGTATGAAGTCTGATGCCTCTGAAATGATTACTTTTCAAGTGCCATCAAAACGCCCTTATTTGAACATGTTAAAGCTACAGAATTAGCATTCCAGAATAGGAACAATGCATCCCATTTGAGAAAATTCTTACTTGAGAGCAGGCCTATTTCCTGAACTTATTTTTAAAACAAAGCCAAAACCAAGAGCAACAGATAAACTCTGGATCTCCATTCTAATTTAATATTAAAGACTGAGAGACAGCACCACCCCTGATCAAGAGTTGATGATGTTCGGTGTGATTCTGCAGAGGACTGAGCCAGGCCCAAGCCAGGCCCAAAGCCACGAAGCGTTCCCGTGGTGCATTTCGATGATAGGGCTGTACCCAAGCAGGGGAACACCAGCACTCAAATGCCTGCACAGTTGCTCAATTTAAACATAACTGTGTTTAATAATTGTGTTTCCTAAACACTTACTGTTATGCACAGACTGAGATTTTAATTTGCTACATATATGTACCACTGGACCATGAAAGAATCACAGCTCATAATAAATTCAGAGATAAATTTGCTGCATGTAGCTGACTTCCACAAGAGAAATTTCCTCCCTTTAAACTCATCTTTCCACTTCACTGTCTCTATGTTAAAAGGTGCATTTAAGAACTCACCTAAATAATAATACTAAGTCTTCTCATCCTTCACTATGCTATCCTCTTAGATGTATCTTGCAAATGCAAATACTACTGAAATATGATTAGCTCAGTTACAAGAGCAAATAGATGTCATAATTAATACACTTTAAATTGTTAACTGTGTTTAGAATTTAGGATCTGTTCATGCCAAATTTTTTTTAAACAGCTGTTCACTGCAGAAAACATTCCAACATTTAAAAACCTGCTGCCTGATGATTATTGTTGAATTCCTCTGAGATCTCAAAACCACTACTGTGCCCTAGGACTCCACTGCAGAGCCACTGCCAGGGGACATCTGAGTTGTGGTCTCAGGTGAGGCACCAAGCCAACAGGTCCCAGACCCACCGAGGCAAAAGCCACCTTGCCCATGACCTAACACTACAGGTAGTATATACTTTAACTCTCATCTGAGAACTGTCACCTTTAGTATAGTCCATTGGTACTTGCCATGTGCAGTGCTGCATTTAAAAAGCCAACAAAGCGCCCCTGCTTTGTGCCAATTTTGCACATTTTTTGTCAGATTAAGGGACTACTTCTTCAACTCACAAGTAAAACAATAATTTGTGGGAGATACTTTTTAATCTTTTGACTCAAAGTCAATCCTTCTTGATCAAATGACAGACACTTCATTGACACTTATTGGTACAGTGAAGCAAAAATAGGATTTAACACCACAGTTAGTGCTTTTTAGTTGCTGTGGGCTTCCTGGCTTTTCACAGCCCAGGTCAGAAGAAATGCAGATCACACCTACAACTACTCATAGTCCATTACCTGTATCAGAAGATAAACCCAGACATCCTCAAAAACTTCTGTCCTTACATGAGCATTTACACGACCTTTTCATGTCTGAATTTGCATTTGGGCAAAATATCATGGGCCAAGACCTGTATCAACATACTTTACACCACTAAACAGGCTCAACTTCTTTACACCAGTGATATAAAATAAGACTCATAGAATTTGTATTAATTTTGGTTTGAATATTCACTTTTCAGTTTTTTCCACTAAAGATTTACTTCCATTGATGACTTGTAAACAAAATTGTATTTCACTGCAAATCAACCTCAGTTGTGCTCCCACCCCACCAGTGAAGAGAGAGGGAGAGAATATTTGTTATCACCAGCTAAAAATTAAACGGGAAGGAAAAAGTACTGTGGACGTTTTCCAAAATCTTTTACAAGTAGTTCAAGATAAAATACTTGGACTGTCCTCTACAGAGAGCAAGCCTAGAGAGCTCTTTCAAACACACATTTACATACACAGACTTCAAAAATTTATCAGAGGCTTGTTTTATGCTTGAATATTACTGTGCTTTTAACTACAACTCTCAGCTGTAAGACACCAAGACACCAGCTGCCCATTTAGTACTCACTGCCAATGCTATCCCCCCCCCCAAACTTTCGATATACTCTTTCCCTGAGTCTTAGCAGTGGTCATTACATGCCCCTTCTGTACTGGTTGTGTTTCCTCTTCCATGTTATACTCTTTGTTGTTGTCGTCATAGTCTTTATCTACACCTCTTTTTCTACCTTCTGCCTCACATGCACTCTCTTAAAATCTGAGCTCTTTCCTTCTCCCCCCCATGTGTTCCTTTTTTCTACTAACACACATTTCCCACAGTTCTTTAGACATATCACATTACCAGCATACTGGTGGTTTTTTGTTACACATGTCATTGTTGTCTCCCACCCCCCATTCTAGGTAGTTTTTGCCTTTCTTACTATCTCCTGCTCCTTAAGAACTCAAGCTGAGGAAAACAACATTAGAACTATTTACAGTAGCTAAAGTACGATTTCCTAACTGGAAAGTATTCCCTGACTGTTGCATCCTGTGCTCCAGGAGTTAGGCTTGTGGCTACAAAATCCGCTTTCTAAAATTAAACCAATCTCACCATCAAAGCACCACAACCTGCTTGCTTTCGTATTTTGTAGATCCTTGACAGAAGAGAATATATGTGGTGTCTACACACCCATCACTGGAAACAAAAAAAATCCTCCACAAACCACGACAAATAAGGAGAGTGACATGATTCTAAATTTCCACTA